CTCGAGGAACACGACCCTGCCCACTCCTTCCAGCGAAGAGGTACGCTTCCCCCCCACCACCTCGCTGGGGATCTCTAAGATGTAAAACTTGCCCTGCCCAGGATATGCAACGCCTCCCTGTTATACCAGTCAGGTCCTGGAGCAAATGCCGCACCATGATAACGTTTGCAACTCTTCGATCGTCGCTCAGTCATTACCCCTTCTTCCGAGGGGCTCTCTACTTGCCTGATTATTACACAGACGGTAATTGAGAATAGAATGCAATAATTCCAACTCACTTCATCGACCACGTACTCCTCGTCTCCAGTTTGGCTATGGATGCGACTAATTTTTGCTTTTTCTGCCTTTTTCTTCATTTCCTGTTCTTTCCACTTCTCGTATTCCAGCCTGGATGCCTGAAAATATCAGATTGTCTCTATGTATTCAAAATCCACTTCTGAACTGATCCAGTACCTCTATCCAGTACTTCCATGTCGTGGTTAAATGGAATAAGCGACAGGGTTCCGTTTCAGTCTATTGAGACAGCCTAATCCTTATTCGCCCTAGTCACGCTTTCTAGATATTGAGAGGCTGTTTGACGATCGTGGACATGGTAAAAATGCGACTTAGTGGCGGGTAATAGGGCACGGTCCGCTCAAACGCGTACTCTCACTCACATCCGAAGACGTTCGCAGTGCGAGGCGAATGAGTCCGTAGCTGCAGTAGCGCGTCCATTTTCTCCGGTCAAAAGCGCCCCGGAAGAGGGCTGTAGGGTAGTGGTTCCTAATGCCGTCTCCATACTCCGCCCGCTTTATCCTCAAAACCCAGCATCTGTGTTGACGGCAAAATCCCGCAGCGAAACATGCACTCAGTGGTGGAGAACAGCCAGAAGTGAGAGGTTGCAGACAAGTTGCGCGTTCGGCTACGGTTACGTGACAACTAAAACTTTTGGTGGGGGTCCTGCCGCGATAGGCCAGAGCGCAGAGCAAGTAAGGGACTGCACTGCCAAGGCATTGTGAAGTACAAAAACATGACTCGAGCCAAGAGATGAATTTTTTCCGAGGGAGGGGACACCGGGGTGGATGAGCCACTTAGTATGCGTGAAAAGTTGGAATGTGAAAGGTCAGAGTGGTCATAAAGCGCCATTCAGGCAAGAGAGCGCAGAGAAAAAAGAAAGTTGGCGCCATTAAAGGAATTGAGTTTTAGTTGTCCGTAGACCCTTCGGCTACGGGTAAGAATGCGGCTGACGTTGCGGCAGCTGCAGCGCAATATGGAGACGCCACCTGGGGCAATGCGCAGTATGGGGCCACATTACACTCCGGCCCCTTCCCGTGCACATCTTGACCGAAGAAAGGGCACGCTACTCAGCTGCGGGAGCTAGACACATCAGGCCGAGTAGCCTATCAAAAGTGAGAATTTTGCGCTCAGCTGGTTTCGACCACCAAAAACGGGTAGTTGTAGAAAATCGGAGCTCGTGAAATGCTGTGGCTAACCATACCGATGCTACAGAACGTGGAGATTTCCCCCGAAATGCTATTTCCTCTCACAGCGTTCTCTTCGAGCGAACACTAGCAGGAAATGCACTCAGCGTGATTAGTCGCAAAGTTCGCCATATGTTGGTTCACTTACATACCACGCAGCAAAGCACAAGACCGTCGGGAAGCAAGTTTTGCTCCAACCGTTCAGCGAGGACTTCGGCTGCAGCAGTTGTAAATAGTTCCTGTTTGGAGATGTTTTCAACTTCTCGCTAGATGAAGGTTGAATAACCCGTGTTTTCCTACGGAAAGTTATAGTTTGAATTCACTCTGGCTGCAGTGCGAGCATAGTCCGCGGGAAGATGAAAAACTTACCGCCCAGGCAGCTACTAAAAGGCGAATAAGAATGCTAATCCAGAATGTCAAGACTTCGCTAAGCACCCCCTAAATACCCTTTGAATTAGGAGAGATTTTCGTTGAAATTCGTAGTATGAGTATTCTAGGTGAAAATTCACAGGGCTGGTTCATTCATTAAGAGATACACTGCACATCTACTGCAATTTGACATGCCAGTAACGAAGTGAACGGTCCGCGGCTGCAGGAGTACGCCTCTTTTATCCCTTGAAGATGCGTGAAAATGAAGCTGGTGGGTTACGGTAGCTGGGTTCTGTTTCGAAGTCCACTCGCTAATGGCCTGATATGGCGGCCAACAGTAGGGACGTGGAAGGGACAAGTAATGTGCTTGGCTAGAGTGACAATAGCTAGGCATGTGCCTGTCCGAGGCATATGCCTAGCCATACTCGCTCGTAGGCAGGCTAGCATGAACGTCTGTGAGTCTGTGTGGCCTCTTGGAGTAACGAAAGCGGCGACTTGGCTATCACGTCTTCAGGCTCATTTGGCGCACAAAAGGTGGTACACTTCTACGTTGCAGAGCCCATTCACTCAACCTGAGCACAGGGTCACGATGGCGAGCGAGCAGTGGCATCTTTGAGCCAGAGTGTGGATCGAACACGCGAATGATGCACGAGAAAAAAAAAATTTTTAGGCTACAGGAGGTGCCGGTGATGCTTCAAGAAATTGTCGGTGCTTACGGTGGGCAGCTTCTGAACAATTGCCGTCGTGAAATGGCAATAAACGCGCGATCTCGTTTATTCGTAGCATCCTATTCATCGGTCAGGTACAAGACAGATGGACTGAGCCCACATGCGGCTTTTTACCACCGGTTGTTTCCTTCCTAAATCAATCACCACTGGTAGGGCAAGGCAGTCGGAGCTCATTCCGTCTTCCCCCCTCCCTCCTTCTGACAACGCCTCGACAGATTGCGTCGCAGGTATATCCTCTTTATCTCAGATAAACATATTGTGGTAATCTTAGTCGTATCTTCCCAATTGGAAACGTTCATATTGCCATAAAAATCGTCTAATCAATATCTTATCTCGAAGGAAAAAAAAGCTCGCTCAGCTTATGCGATCTTCAATCCGGGGTTTGTTCCGCGAACCTTGCCCCAAGCACCACCACGTCCCAGCATGCCGTGTTTGTTTCAGATTTTCGCCTTATTCGGGAAAACTGCACTAATGCTCGAAAGTAGACTATCACAATAAGAAGCTTTTTCATTTGACGGAGAACAGAAAATTACAAACGGAAATCGCTCGGAGACGATGAGTAATCGAAAAAAATAAAAAGCTTTTCGAATGGCATAATTTTTCGGCCACTATTCACTATTATGACCCCAGTTTTGCGAAAACAGGCCGGATCTTGATCGACTTTTTCTACGGGGGTGGATTTGGCTGAAAGTTGGGTTCTAGGGGTAATTCGACCTCCTGAACACGAATATCACATCCACTTGGCCTGAAATTGCCTGGCGCCCGCGCCATAGGCGCCAGTGATTTGGGGCATTTTGGCGCCGGCGCCCGTAAATCTGGGTAGTAAAATAGTTGCAATAGTGCCATTTTTTCTAGCGAATTCTGCGTGCTCGCGTATGGTACCAATGTCCCATGGTTATCATCACAGAATTCATCCAGAGGGGCGTGGTGTAGAGGAGGGTCGCGCTCAAGGTCCTAGGATACATCTCGGATGAAGCTCATTTTAAGCCACTCATTCAGAGGCACAGCTGCACAAGCTAACCTCGCATGGATCCGTGGCCTCACGTGAGTGGGCAACATCGGAATCCGCGTCTGGCAGTAGGGGTGCCAGGTTTCCGCCGCTCAAAAGTGTCTGGATCGACACTGGAGGGCGCCATTGCCAATGTGTGTCTGCGCTGGCCCACCACGCCCATGCACTTGCCTGTCTCACTTCTGTCTGGTCATTCTCGACTCCTGAAGCCGTGTGTGGGACTGCACTCATATACCTCTACCGGTACCTCTGTCCCGTGCAATTTTGAGCGGAGAAATTGTCATGCTACTGCAGGAGCGGACCAGTTCACCTCGTTAAGACGTCCTTCCTCGGAGGTCTATGCAACTTGTCTTTTGAGCTTCCGTCCCTGCGACAGGCTGGCACTCTCAAAAGTTTCGTCACAGCGACCCTCAAAAAGTTGAAGTAGAACGGATGGAGGGCTGCTCTATTTTTGCCCTCATCCGCTTTTTCCTCTCTTGTTTCCTGTCCTATTGGAAGCTATGTTCATTTGAACAGCCAGCCAAGCCAGCAAGGACTGCAATCCTCCCTCATTGCTTGCATTTATAGTGGAGCTACGAGTTAAATTTTTCTTCGACTAGCTAAGCCTAAACAGGTACTGTTCGGCTTGGAGGGGCATTTTGCACTTTCCCTGGTTGCTTTGCTAAATCATGTCAACAAATAGGTTTCACTGTAGCGAGTGCTGCAATTTCTTGTGAACTGCAAGTGGCGACTGGCAGAAGTGAGCCACTATGTTCACAAGAATTGACAGGTCTTCACGAGGAGGCCTGTAGAAACTTCGCTAAGAACCATTAGCTGCCCCACCGAGCCGAACTGCGCCCCTGAACTTTCTAAACGAGCCTTTTCTCTAGACTATGAAGCGGGGCTGTTAGTAAGCAGGCACAAGAAAATGTAAAAGAAGGAAAATCGTGTTTATTAAAAATTTTCTAATGGATCAATAATAAAACGACAACACATTTGCACACAAGGAAACCACATAAAGCTAAGCACGCGGCGATACCTCAGTTTTAATGCTCTCAATTTCTTGGGCTTTCTTCTTCTCTTCTTCATCGTGTTTCCGCTTCTCTTCAGCTTCTTTCTCTTTCTGCTCCTTCTGCTGCTGCGCCGTGATCTCTGCCTCTTTATCGTGGCAAATTTTCTCGTCTATGCAGATTTTCATTGGTTCATCTTACGGAGTCGTTCAAGAGCTACTCTGAAAGTGACACCTGTGAAATTTCATTACGGGACGTATAGGGGACTAATTGGCTAGGAATATGAGAGAGACTAGAGAAAAAGTCACACGAAAGCCACACCCATTTCTTGTCCGCCTGCCTCCTAATTCGTCAAGCAATATCTCATTGAAAGGATGCAGACGAGATGAAAAGAAGTGGGGCTCAGTCTCGTCCTCATTGGATCTTTTTCCAAGGCTGGTGCTTTGGGCCTTCAGTCTACCGCTAACAGATTAGATAAGTCAGGCACAGTTTGCCGACGAGGGGGGAGAGGGCATTTGAGGGCATTTTGCACTTTCTTTGCCTCACTCCGTTTCTGGTTTACAAGTCTCATCTGCTGTGAACCTGTAAAACTCCTAATGAAGCTGGAGCAAGCTCGTCAAGCCATCATGGTAAACCTGCCAACTCGAGAAGAGGCTGTCTAGATTGGTCGACACGTCAATGGGAAGTCGGTAAATTCCAAGAAATGCCCTCCCCGGGTCGCCAAACAGCGTCGATGGGTCATTTACAACGCATCGAAAACCACACCTCCACCACTCACAGTCACAGTTATTAGCAAAGAACTTAGGCAATTAGATGAGCATTTATGTTTCAAATTAATGATGTATTCCACGCTGATCGCATAGGCGGAGCCAGCACAGCTGCGTCTTCCTCACTGCCATGCTTCTTGTTTTCAAAACGCTATATCAGAAGAGGCACCGATCTGATAAAGGCAACATGGAATTCCACTTTGCCGATGGGATCCGCGGGAATCTCGTTCTTCATCGTTGCCGACTCCCTCAAATCTTTTTCTTCTATCTTTCTGGCTTGAACATGAGAGCCTATGACTAGGCCAAAATGGCAGGGCTTAACAATAGGAGACGGCTTGCCCCTGATTACCGGGACTTGCATCGTACCAACACCAATGATTTTGAGCAGCAGGCTACACCTTTGAAGAACCCTACGAAGAGGGAGTAGGGATGTTCACCTGAACTCAGATTTAGGGAGCTGCGGCTAGTGAAACTAGTGGATGAGATAACTGTTATGGATATACCCGACCTTATACGTTTCTCTACAAGAAGTATGATTTTTATAGAAGTTTCCCGTCAACTCATTGGTACCCTTGGGAAACGGAACTTCCCCTAATTGTAGCAAATGTATTTGAACCAGCGATATTGCTCTCAAGAGCAACTCCGCAACCACTGCGCCATGCAGCGCGTACAAAACCATTACTTACTTATTGATAAGTTCACACACATTCCCATCATCGCATTCCGTCCCATTGTGTTTCCAGCATTCTTCTCTCATATTCTAAATTTGCATTCTCAATATTTGAGTGCCTCGCTATACTTACTGGCAAGCTGCTTACTCCTTAGATAGGCTAATTGAAACGGTAATATTATTGTCAAACATATCATGTCAACTCACACTTTCGAAATCTGGTTCTGCAAGCTGGCGCTCCTTCAACTTCTTGATGACAGCAGTGCAAAAGTCGCATATGTGGTCAGCAGGAATGACCTTTAACAATCAATCAATACGTATTATAAGCACGTGCAACATGGGAACATGCTTGTTGTTGAAGTTAAATCCATATGTCATTATGTTGAAAACTGAACTTGAAGGCACATCCCGCGACTACCGTATAAACACATTCCGTATAAATCCAAGCCCCTCGCTGGAAAGGGAAGAGTGGGTCGCATCGGGCAACGTCTTGAGCTGGCTCAGAGGGTTGTAAGGTAGGGCGATAAGGCGCAAGCTCCAGCTTGAATACCTCCATTCCGTCCTTCCGTTGTCTAGTCTCTGTCGACGGCTGCTGGCGAGCGATGGCTGCATCCAGGTTCCCGTTTTCTTTTTTTGTTTTTCCGAAAAAAAACCTGGATGCAGAATGCATAACTCCTTTTGGATCTGACGTTG